TCAGCGGTAAAAATTGATGTTATGCTGACGTGGATGATGATGATGAAGATAATGATAATGGTGATGACGATGATTATGGTGATGCGGAATGACTGAATTACTTGATTTACTCAAATTTCTCAGACCAGGGGCCCGGCAAATAAACATGACCTCACGTGACCTAAAGCTGCCCCCTTCACGTGGTGGTCGGGCTTGAGTGCTGCAATGATCCCGCGGGCTTAACTGGATGGAACTTCGATCCACAAAGTGCAACCATGTCAGGAAGGCCAAAATGACCAGCCAGACCAAGAGCAGCGAGACCCCGTACTACGAGTGATCGTGGTACGAGGCGGTCCGGGGGTAGAATCGTGCTGTCCTCTTCGTCAGGAATGTAGAGGCAGTAAGGTGTTTCCCTCAGCCGACCAGCACGTCCATATTTACGGAAGTAGCGATGCTGCCTTCCCCCGAGNGGACGGGTGAGAAAACCCCGGCCCCGAAAATCGCACACTCCGATCACCCAACGGTTGACCGCGACCGCCGTCGCATTATTTAATACGGTCGAAATACTTTTAAAACCAAAGAACCCGGTGCTGCTCAAAAGGCATCTGCTGCGCGCAGCCGCATCAGGAATGAAGCACTTATGCCTTACTCCCTGCGCCCTCGGGTACGGCCAACCCAGTTGCGACCGAGCAGGTCAGACTTTTGGGTCGTAGGCTCCGGGCAGAGACCCCAAAGAAAACCCTACATTTTCTAAATGCCTCGTGGGTCTAACTTTTTATTCAGAGGCTAGTGTCATATCGCGAACAAAACCCAACGTCCTCACACAGCCTTGTGTGGCAAAAAGCATCGACAATGAGATCCTCGCAGGCGTTTTGGATGCTCAAGTATTTCCTCTGAGCTCCTTGTAACAACATTTGTGTGGTCGCTTCGAAGTCGATGCTCGCCACAAAGACAACGGAGGTCGGCTCCTTCATTTGTGTGCTGATCACGAACTGATTTTGGCAAGTAGGAACCTCCAATATAAACGTTCGCACAGCCAACTACAAGCCAAACATGGACCCAGTTGGACCACGTGGCCATCAGCCACCGGTAGATAGCCGCAATTCAAGCCTGCCGTTTTTTCTGGGGTACACCACTTGATTCCGATCACGCCTTGGTGCGCGCACGCTTGACAGTTAGTTTCCCTTTAGGCCCTCAAGAATCGGCAAGATGCTTGCCAATCCATTAGCTTCGAAGAACTGCCATAGCTCAACAGTATCGTTCTGAGCTAGCCCAACAACTTTCCACAGTAAAACAATACTGTGGTAGCAGTGAACACGTGGATGAAGCGTGGCAAAATGTGAAAGGAGCCATGCGGCGCACGCAAATCCCTTAAACGCCAAATAGTGAAGAGCCTAAGGAAAGACCGAGAGCTCTGGTGGACATCGAAAGCTCGGGAGTTGGAAAAGGCTTTTGCTGCTAGAAACGGCCGTGCTCTTTAGCAACTGATACGAAAGACTGGTGCTAGGAAATCAACGGTCAGCAAACCGATAAGTGAAATAGATGGCTCATCAATTCACTCCCAAAATCGTCGACTAAAGAGATGGGCCGAACACTTCGAAGAAATGTTCATCTGGCCTCTGGCAACATAGCCGTTGGAGATAATGCATACGGGCGAATGGAATGTAAACCTTGATCCCTCTTTGGAAAAAGAAATAAGATATGAAATAGCCGTACTTAAACATGAGAAGGCACCAGAACCGGGCGGTCTGTATGCAGCCCTCAAAGATGGCGGAAAATCCCTGGTGACCCACCTGTCAAAGCTTACTGGTGCTATAAGGGACGGAGAGAACGTGTTTGCAGAATGGTGCATGTCGACGGTTATCCCCATCTTCGAAAAGTGTACGCGGCCTCTATGTGAAAACTACCGTGGAATCAGCCTGTTAGCTGTGGCATCTCTGGTGCATTTTTGGTGCTCTCTGACCTTATCCTTTGAAGTTTTCATGAATACAGGGGGTGCAGATCCCTGAAAACCAAGCTGGGTTCCGTCCTGGAAGAAGTTGCATCGATCATATCCTCACCCTCCGACAGAGCCTGGAACAGCGAAACTTCCTCCAGCAACCAACAATGTTTGTTATTCTTGATCTGAAGCCTGCCTTTTACTCTGTGGACCGCCAAGCATTATGGCAGTGTCTGCGGAGAAAAGGTGTCCCCCGTTAATTCTTGACTCTCATTAAGGCACTGTACGCCAACTACCGCGATCATGTAAAAATCTAGGGGAAGGTCTCTCCTGAGTTCACCACATCCAGTGGTGTCCTAAAGGGGTGCCGTCGTTCAACTCTCCTCTTCAACTTCGTCATTGATACGATCATGGAGGACACACTATCAACCTCTAATGCATGTGGGGTCAAAGTGCTCCGCGGGACACCGCTCATAGATATCGAGCACGCATGCGACACAGCTCTTCCGGGATATAATTCCATGGTAATGCAAACAATATTAAATAATCTAAATAATCCTGCTTCGCGGTTAGGCATCCGCTTCACACCTTCAAAGAGTAAAGTGCTATTGCAAGATTTTGTGGGCTCGAACCCTATCCACATGCTTGCGGATGAGCTGATTGAGGTAGTAGACAAATGTGTTCACTTGGGCAGCCGCATCAGTCCAGGTGGTCTGGTGGAAGATGACATTTCTATCCGGATTGGGAAGGCCAGAGCAGCTTTTGCGAACCTATGTCACCTGTGGCGTAGGCGTGAGATCGGCTTCTCTGTCAAGGGTCGAGTTTACAATGCTGCAGTACGCTCCACATTAAGAGGGATCAGATACCTGGCCGCTGCGCTCCGAGCACGTCAAATGTTTTTCAGTGTTTGATCATCGGCGTCTTCGGAGTATTGCCCGAATCTGGTGGGAAAACCGGATCAGCAATTCTGAAGTTGGCCGAATGGTATCCGGGAGAAATATCTCACTCTCGATAGATGAACTGATCACACGGCATAGTTTGCGCTGGCTTTGCCACGTGCTGCGTATGCCAGTCGACCGACTTCCTCAAAGGGCTCTTTTCACACAACCAAGTGAAGCGTGGAAGAGAGCCAGAGGCGGTCAACCGATGAATTGGCAGCGAAGTATGGAAGCCAATAACAGCAAACTTGGCTGCACTGGTCACTGCCGTATTCCTGGATGGGGACACCGAGACGGGGCTTATCAATGGTTAGCGATATTGTCAGACATGGCTCAGCCGCGACCTTAATAGCGCTCGTGCACCCAAGCTATAGCCTTCAATACATAGCTCATTTTCCAACGCCTTCCCTCCACTTCACGGCCCACTGACAGTGATGGTTTCATGTACCAATTTATCAGCTCCCGCTTGCAAGGCGCAGCTCCCTAACCCTACCCCCAAATCATTGGTGAACGAAACTACGGCAGCTAAAAAACTGTACGACTAGTACGAGGTTAGAAACAGCTGACAATAGTGATGATGATAGGATGTTCGAAAATGTGTAGAGCTCTACCGGCTCTGTAGGAGAAACCATCTGCAATGAACAATATTCATAATTCGTAAGTTGTCCTTTCTTCTTCTAAACGGACCATGTTTGTAGTGTAAAACCGAGTCCGAAATTCTACGGTGGGAAACAAATTTTATTCATTTAGGATCACTAATCCAGCTCATTAAGTTGCTGTCAATTCGAATAACAGGTCTGCTGATTCTTGTAAAGTCTTCAAGTCGTTTCGGAAGAAGCTCGCGATGTTCGTAATTATATTTTGCTTCCATTACATAATTGCGTATTTTGTCAGTGGCGTAGTCGTTTTTAATTTGAATACAAACTACAAAAGTGCTTTACCATTTCATTTCACACGCTGACGTGGGCCAACGACGAACTATTTTAAGGAGAGAAAATATTGGTGAGTCTGTTCCATCTGATCCCTTGATTTTTGTATACTCAGCCTAGCGTTATTGTTTTCATTTTTTGCAACACACTCCTGGTAAATTGAAGGATCGGATAGCCAGGCCAGTACAAGCTCCACGGCTCTGGTAAACCACTCACTGTGGATGTCTCGATAGTGGATGTGTGTATCGGCAGTAAATGTCGACATTTTCATCCTGGATGCAACAACCCAGCATCCACCTAGGGCACACGGATAGCCAAAGTCGGGGTAAATCGCCTGTTATAAGGCCGTATTCAGTCAGTTCCAAGCGTATTGGATCACGATCCAAAACTGGTTACGTCGATGTAATTTAAATGACACTGTTATGTTACCGGTTCACAAGCATTCCTTCTAACAGATGCAGGGCTTGTGGGCAGCTTGCCGAGATCTAGCGCACGTGTAAAAGCGAAGTCCCCTCTAAGATTAACATCTGAAAATACTACACGTATGCAATTTGGCGGTGATTGTTATCGACGTTTGTGCACACTCTGTATTCAGTGTTAGACCCTACTCACATTAGGATCCTCTTCCAATCGGGTTTTTCATATTTGAAATATTTGAAATATTTGTTATACATTTCTTCTTGGAAATGAGGGCTGTTTATGCTGAACAGCTGAGAATAATTTTTAAGCGGTTTCTCCCTTACTGTGTAGCATCAGCAGTGTACATCTGTCGAAAATGAAGGTAGTTCCTAACCGAACCCCTGGCGGCCGGGCTAGTGGTTTAACACTTAACCCTTTGGCTGATCATCAACATGATTGGGTGTTGGTGACATACGATTAAACGCCACGGTTACGGACAACCTTAACCTTTGTTTGATCATCAACATGATTGGTTGTTACTGACACAGGACTAAACGCTACCGGTAAAGAGAATAGGACAGGAAAGTGAAACCCTCTCATGCACCTTGCTTTTGACAAACAGAATATCCGTTTTCTATTTGAACGCGCCATCTCGAACTTCTCTGGATAGTCACTAACTATCACCCAGTTGTGTATGAATACTATAATACAATTCCACAAATTCCGTAATAAACCAACTTCCATTCGATCAAGGCGGAGTTAAAAGAAAACCACGTACATCACATTCAGTCACCAGTATTACCCAGCGTTACACACCTTCTCCCTGTCAATATCATTTGAATACCACCAATTTCCATTCACCTCCGTTAGGTCGGCCCAAACGGCGGTTATTTTCGGCGGATCTTTGGATGTATAATACCAGTCCCGAAGCTGAGTCCCACTTATTGCTTCCAATTCCGGCCGTCTTGAAGTGTTAAGGCGTTCGTCCGTTACTAGTCACATAGATTCAGAACAGGAAAGCTTACCGAGACAAGAATCCATTGTCCTTGGATTGCTTATCGCCACTGTGTTATCGTCACTGAAACTACTTATGAACTGGCAAATGACGATGTATTTTGTGCTGGTGTTGTAAAGTAATCTGTCTTCACTAGGGGGTGTTTACCGGCTCCAAACCGCATGTACCTTTGTGCAATGTAGGACCTTTCGAACACTGTAGTCCACATATCACACATAATCGTCCATCGCAGTCTGCGATTTGTCATACCGGGTCAGCCGCAGAGGAAATTTACAGTACGGAATGATTTTTTCGTTGGTCCCGAGGAAGACATATGTGGAAGGTATTATTCAAATGTCACACCGCATCCATTTGGTGGCATTGATTCGCCTGTGATTTATCCGTCTGCAATTTCCTACCGAGCTTGTTTTAACTAAACACCAAAGTGTACGCTCATCTAATGAAACCCCGATAGGGGAGACGGTTAGTGTGCTGTTGAATAGTATTCAGTGAATTATTTGTAACAATGCAGTATCAGGGAGGCATCGTCGTAATAGAACAATTGCGAATACAGACGATTCCAAATAACCAGTATTATTATTAGACAAAACCGTCCAGTCCAGACCACTTCGCCCAAGCATTTAATGAAGTTATGACTGGCTGTCTGAAAACTTATTCAAAGTCGACAGGGATAAGTTTGACTATGAGTCTAGTCCAGTAAGAGTGAAACAGAGGAAAGATTGGAATTTGTGCATTGTTTTCGAGTCGGCTGATGATCAGAAAAATGTCCTTATTGCGTTGATCGACCGGCCTATTATTGTTTGTCCTGTGAATATGTCGTGCAATACTAAGTCAAATTTTTGAAAGCGACTTGATGTGCCCACGAGACCTGAGAGTCCGGACGGTTTACCCTGAGTTTTCGGTTTATACCTAACGACACAACCCGTGTCTAGGAATGGTAGCAGAACATGATACGGACCAGGTGCAATTCATTATATTTTTGAAACGTCACAATACAGACCGCGCGTCATCTAGGAGCAACTGGCGTGGACAGAATAGATAAGGTTTTTGGCCACGTATCCAGCTTTGCACAGCTCTAGTGGATGAACTGTTTGCTGAGCCACATCTGGGACCTGAAAATAGAACGTCAACAGAATCTCAGCTAGGATACCAGTCTAACAAACTAAAGGGTAACTGCGCATACGACGGACCGAGTGTCATACCTGTTCAACACATGTTTGGACCAATGGCTGAGAATGGTATCAAAGGAAGAGGAATGTGTGTTCATACAAGATTCATTCTTACTTACACCAACAAAATTCAGCAACTTCCAGAAAGAGTGACAACTACGTTAAATTGAAAGGAAGATTGTCAGTGAGGCACACTGAAGTTCGGCATGGGTCCCCGAGAGGCGAAAATTTACAAATGAGAGATGTTGGCGAGTATCAGCATATCTGAATTTTGGACATTTCGAAGACTCTTGATAAAACCCCTTCACTGCTAGCAGAGAACAAGCAGATGTGTGAAACTGTATGAACTCCACGAAACAAAATACATAATACTACTATGCCTTGTTTCGACCGTCTTGGGACTCAGCAGGTAGTCGGAGCCCGTGAAATACCGTCAACCTTATGTTCTGCTTGAACCAAAATTACTCAGATTGTGGCAGATGGTTCTAAGACAAGAGAAACAAATGAATCCGGGTAAACCTCGCCAATGATGCTTAACTGAAACAGAATTTTGACGAGAACTCAGGAAATGCTTTGATCTGATGAGCCTCGACAGTGGCGAAACTGGTCGCGAGCTGCCAAAAACCCTTCCGCAACCATTTAAAAAATCCAGTGTGGCTACTAGTCCTGTTCTGCAGATAATGGGGCATTTTAAATGATGACGAATGTTCATGATGAAACAGGATGCTGGTTGCAACAGATGTAAATCGTGAATGCACTAGAAGAGAGACCTATCGAGACTGATTTAGGAACTCTGAAATCAGTCAGACAACCTGGCTTGTTGATAATTCACCAAATTTATGAAAAGTTAGTCATCCAGGTAGAGAAGTTTCTGGGAACTTTTGGATTTACCTGAGCCTTTCAGTGAACTTCTTCACTACAGGATGAGTTTTGTGAGTTACATCTACATGTCTTTGAAACATTGAAACCAGGACACACGGAAAAAATGATTTAAAGTTACGAATATGAACTTGAGCTTCAAAATCCACCGTTTTATACCAGCTGTCTATTGTTGGACATCGACTCGTTCGATAAATGTTCCTGGAACTTGTTCACCCTGAATAACAAAAGCAGAAATTCAAACGAGAATTGCAGACTAAACGTTGCTACAATACACTGCTTAGCAGTGTTGCACACACGGACCCTTCGTCGCGACTGTCCCGTGTCACTTCCGAAAAAATCCACTACCCTGTGGTGGTGGTCGATTATAACCGGCTGCAGGATCAGTCATGCCAGGAAGGGCCTGACCGAACAACTGGCTGAACAACTGAACTCATTTTGTCGCATCTCACATGTAGTCAGACAATTTCATTGAGCTGATCTTAATCTTGATAAATTCACATTTTCATTCCAAGGAATACGAAATATTATTCCAGAACACTTTGGATTGTTTAATATTCTGATGGAGCTACAAAACCCTCCGCCTCGTATGATTCATTCTGATGATAGCAGATATAGTCTATAATCACTTCGGAAAACACCCACAAACTGCTGAAAAATATATTTCGGAATGGATGTCAAATTTCAAGAAGAACCAAAATGCCAGTAATGGTAGCACCAGATTTGCATCCAAATACCCTACCGAGAAGGCCGTCCGGCGTTAATGAGGTTCGTTGGACGAAGAGGGTGACCGTTAGATATTTACAGCGATAATGGATCCAACATCGTTGGTGCCGTTAAGGAACTCAGGGAGCACGTAACGCTTTGGGACCAGGCGGAAATCAACAACCGACTGTTAGCTTGAGGTATTCAGTGGCATGTTAACACCCTGTATGCTAGCCATCGAGGAGGAGTGTGAGAGCGAATGATACGATCAACACGGCAAATCATTTTTGTGCTGATCCAAGAGCAAACTCTATCTGATGATTGTCTGTCAACCTTTTTTATTGAGGCGGAACGTGTTCTAAACGATCGGCATTTGACATCTTTGAGTGCAGATTGCCGTGATGCATTGGCTCTGACTCCGAATCACCTCTCGCTACACGAAGCGAACGCAGGTATCCCATCGCATTGCGATTTGAAAGAGCGGCTCACCCGACGTTGGAAACAAGTGAATTATTTGGCGGAAGTTTTCTGGAACAGGTGGAACAGGTGGAACAGTTACGCCATAAGTGGTTAAGTCGGAACAGAAACCTCAGGTAGGGTGACGTCGTCATGGTAGTGTCTGAACATCTCTCTGGAGGAAGGTGGCCACTGGGTATTGTCACCGATTGTCAAACGGATGCGGACGGCCTCGTCAGAACGGTTTCCCTCCACACTAGCTTCGGTGTCATCAAGCGCCATGTTAGGAGCCTATGTTTGCTGGAAGGGGAGGACTAAAGAGAGGGTATGCAGGTTTAGGGATGCTTTTCTATAGACGTATTAGAACGGCCGGCTTTTAGTTCAGCGTGATATTGTGGGTGTGTGGTGGGCGCGTGTACGGTTGAAACCGGCCTTCGTGGCAGGAGTGGACTCGGATCATTCAGGTCGGTGTCTAAAGTTGCATGCCTGTAGGCTAGAGCTC